AATTTAGATTATTTTCCAAGGTGGCTATTTCATCTAAATTTAAACAAGTGGCACTCAAAGTAGCCATAAAATGTTTTATCCTTATGGTGAGATCAACTGAAGTATGTTTTGCTACATTTTAAATAGTATCTAATGCTAGGGCAACAGCCTACAGTCCTCTTTGCGTACGTTACACTTATGTAATATATGATTAAATGCATTGGTCATCATGAACGTGTGGACACAAAGCTACAATTTGCATATGAGAATACACCTGTACATGCACATTTAAAACATAATTAAATTGTATAGTACTCCCAAACATAATCACTTAAATTTAACTTATTAATATATATTGGAATAGACAATATTCTTCAATATCTTATACCTCGTCTATCTTTCCCGCCCATGCTCTTTATTTTTTATTTTTGGAACTCAGCATTGCTGCTATATAAGAATATATCAGAATTCTCTACAGCAATTAAACTCTGGTACAGGGCTCTAAAAATTTATTCATCACTTTAGAAACCAAGAGACTTTTTCTGCTAAGACCATTTCTTGACACAAGACCCATAATGTGCCAAAAAACTAAATGAACTGGTCCTACATACGCCAATGGTGCGATGGCGCTCATCTCAAAGCCATGGAAGCTATGCTCCCTGATACCGCACTGACAGGACTGGACAGATACCACTACCACCAAATCAAACTATTTTATATGACCGCCCCTGCAAACGTCTTATACATTGGGACCTCACACAATTCGAGACACTATGTACATCCAGACAGCATACAGACAGAGGCATATCCACACTTTATACAATGATAATATAGAACACTGGTGGGCCACTTATATGATATACCACGAAATGGAAAAGAGAGACAGGCGAAACACTAACTGACCAAGAGTGGGATAAAATATACATTCTCACACACAAGTGCTCCATAAGTTCCAAATACCAAGAAATTAGCTCTAAGCTGCTTTCTAACTGGTATAGAACCCCAGACACACTACACCGGCACGGAACTCGACATCTGGTGGACATACCCGATCATAGCTCCTTTCTGGGGGATGATAAACACTAAGATACGAGAGATCACAGACTTGGACCTGCCACTCCAGATCCTTCCCATGCTGCTCCACCACACAAACATGACCCTGAAGACCTACAAAATGTCCCTGACTACGCATTTATTGAAGGCGGCAAAATCCCTCATCCCCACGCTTTGGAAACAGAAGGGGGCGCCATCCTTCCAGCAATGGGTGGGAGAGATTTATTCCATGGAATTATTGACTGCAGCAATTCAGGGCCGTACAGACAGTAACAAAAAGACCCTATGGCTGTTATATACATCTGCCAGCAGAGCAAACTACTGAATTACAGAGCCCCCCTCCCCATACCCCTCCCATTGTACTGCCGCCTTTCCTTCCCTACCCCCTTTTTATTTTTTCTTCCTCTTCCTTCCCTCTTCCCCCCTCTCGCTTTCTCACTCTCCTCTCTTCCCCTCCTAACGTGACGTACCCAAAGACTCCCTCCAGTTCTTCCTCCACCCTACCCGACAGATGACTCTGTGACTGAGACACTGAAGCCTAGACTAACAGAAACCTTTGCTGATTGGTGAAATCATGTTGATTATCGCCGTTCTAGCTAAATTGACATACCAGAACACACCGCACTGAACTGCAGGTATTGCCTGGTGTTGACCCATATCAACGAAACTGAACTTTCCCTATTCTAAACTTCTGTTAATGTTTGGCCCCATAACTTTATCGCTGCTTGTTTGAACTTAAGATGTTACCAGAGTTAATATGCTATGTCAGAAAAGTGGTGTTTATTTCTGCCATGATGCATGAAGAAGTCATCCTACTACCACTTGTTACGCACCGTACTGTTACTTGTTTGCTTTGCTTAAATGACAAAAACAATAAATGAAACATATTTATAAATTTGTTTGCATAAATATTTTTCTTGTGTTATATAACTGCAAAAAATGAAATCACCTATGATTATTTTTACCTATTATCCTCAGCCACACAGTTTCTCTCATTACAACAAAGCCTTTTCTTTGGTGGTTTGATTTGTGGCAGTTTGATTTAATACACATAAAGAAACTCCATTGAGTTCACCTTTCTTGCATCATTGTTGCTGCTGTTGATCAAAAAGAAGGTAACAAAAATATTCTTGGCAACCCCAAGTGAATCCACAATATTTCTATATCTATAACATTTATATAAATTATTTTTTTTAAATTGCAAATTCTGCTTTGTTAAAGCGCAACCTGATATATTTAGATATTAAATTTGACATCATTTTTTTTTAAATCATAATATGTATTGATGTTAGTGTGAAGAACCTTTTTTTCTTGCTGTAGATGAAATCTAATAATATTTCCAAGGAAGTAAATACAACTTTTCTAGTCTTAGAAACTAAAACCTTTCAGTACTTTTATTCATTTAGCTCACAATCTATGTTCTTTTTTTCAGTTTCATAATGTTCCTTTTGAGAATTAACACAGGAAATCTCACTGCTTATTCAAGAATGTGTATTTACATGGATTTTCAAATAGGTGGAAATATATTTTCTTCTTGTCCGTCAATATCCCATTTTATACACAGTATATGGTAATATCTTGCCCTTGCAATTGCAAGTTGACATTTTGCACTGTTAAAAAGTTTACTGCTTACAATTATTCCCGAATCCTTCTTGAGTAGCAATTCCCTTAACAGAATCCCATTTAGAGTATAAGTTGCAAGTTTATTTTTGTTCCCAAAAGTGCCAAACTTTGTCTACACTAAATCATATCTGCCAGTCACTATGACTACTTCAGAGTATTGTGTATTCGTTTTGGCGTATTGCAGCCATTACCATTATACAATTCAGTTCATATTCAGATGAATATAACCATTCTGAATTTCAAGGAACAAAATATGTTTTCATTAGCTAGTTTTACTTGCTAGTATTTGTTGTAAGCTATGAATATACAATGTATTTTTCAGAATAGTCATCATAAAAAGATCCAGCGCAAAACGTCCTTTTGCCTGTTTTATGTAAAACTATTTTGAATCTCTTTTTAGGAAAATAGTGTTTTCTCCTTTGGGTGACAATAAAAATATGCATACAATTTGCATTCCCTTTTATTGTATTTTCTAGTTATGTATCTCTATGTAATGCACTGGACATATCACAGTTCCTTTTGAATATCCAGCAATCAAGCGTTCTGCTTTAAAGTAAGACATTTAAGATGTAGACTGCACAGCGGTTACATTTAGTCTGCTGACTTAGAAAATCCATCTGCAGTACTCATGCTTCACTGCACAAGAGATTTGTCCAATGAACTATCCTAAGAATTCCTCCAAAATTCGATGTATTCTTGACCTGAGAATGTGTACAATGACTATATTATTCTAGCAATCTACAATATAAAATCCACTTTATATGCTATAGCTCTTTACCACATAACCCCCCTCCCTATTTTTTAAGTTTGGATGAAAAAAGCATATGCATAATTTTATTTCACTAACATACAGCCAGTAGGTAGTTTACATTAACAATAGATGTTTCAGGAAAAATGTTTGCATACAGTTACTGTAATGTACAGAGTAAAGGCTACATCCATCAATGGCTAGAAGTAGTGTTATTTTATATGCATGGGAATAAAATGCTCATTTCTTTTGTTATGTTTTATGCATTTAGAATTTAATGTACATAGTAGTGAAGAGTCACTTCAATCAAAGTAAAAGTATGCTGCAGCCCAAGGTAACTTTGGGGGTCTATTGGCTAAATAATAATTTGAGGATTAGCAACTTGCAAAATATATTTCAAAATAATAGCAAACATAATAACTACTCACTCACAGCAATCAACAAACAGCAACATACATCATTCACAGCTATCACACAAAGCAGTGACACACACAAATTACACACAGCCACCACACACAGCCACCACATTGGGGTAGTCATGTGATGGTAGAGAGAAGGGTACCAGACACTGATATACCTGAGTTTTCAGAAACGCTTTGGCAGGTCCTGAGAAGGTATTGATTGCTATCTGACAGTTAAAGAGTTAATTTGCATAGGATTGTATACATTTCTGATTTTTTCATAGCTGTATCTAGTAGTACTACAATCTAACTGTGGACTCAAGATTTAATAATATTATTATTATTATTATTTTATTATTTATATATCGCCTTTGGATTCCGTAGCGCTGTACAATTTACTCATTTGCAATGTACTTTATTATTCAATGAATCTACCTGTAAAATAGCTTAACAAATCAGTAGGTGTCCCTCTTGATCTCTAATTGGAAAAGTGTCAAAGAAGATATGAATGCCAAGTATAAAACTCAGTTTAGTTTAGTTTATAATTTTCATGGACAGGACAGCAGCTTTTATCTTTTCATGGATGCAATTATTCTACAGGTCAATATTACATTACAGAGTAATAAACCTGGAACATGTGTGCTATAATTACTGGTTGTATGACACTGTCATGCTAATAAAGAACATGATTTAAGTCCCAGTCTGCCACAAAATACCAGAAATAGGATAGCTAATATGAGATGGAGATTACTATTAATCATACTAATTTCTGTAAATTGCTTTAAAGCCAGTTTTAACCTTATATATTTAGATCCCATTCACATATATCTAATTTCATACAAACTATATGAGCTGTTAAAATGGAATCTCAAGTACTTCTCATAAGCTGTGATATACCGGGGTGATTTATCAATGTTCTCTAAAAAAAACTGTTCTAAATTTCTAAAAATAGGGTAATCACCATGTAAACCAGTGGAACAACAGCCAAATGTCATTGGTGACTCTGCCCCTTATACATTTTTGCACTAATATTTAGAACAGAATTCTTTGTTAAATCTCCCCCATTGTGTTGTATCTTGAGCCATCTCAATGCACAAGCTATTTTAAGTTTTTGTTTTTTATTCAGCTTGTGTGACATGAACATTAGCACATCTCTCGGTGGATCCCTAGAGAACCTCTCAAGGTCAAGATGTTAGTTAAAATCAATATGATTCTAATAATTAAAGGAAGATGTGATTTTGTATTTGATGCACACTCTTTAAAGATACATACCATTTATAACAAAGTTATAGTGTTTGTTTTGTAATCATTTAAATAATGTCTGTGATATGCTGCAGAATTTAGTTATTGTTTATTTGAGTGTATTTTTACAAATCAAATAGCAAAAAAATCATAAAGATTGCTCCTGTTAAACCTCCATAAAACTGGATTTATACTTTGTCATATTTCAATTTACATATATAAAATTCTAATTGATTTTTATTGTCTCTATACTATTTTCTCCCTACTAGAGGAAGATGAGATTGCATAACATGTCTCCCGTAAAAGCATGTAAGGAATATATGCATCAAGTGAAACACTACCATCACCACCCCCATGTTTCTCTACAGAGTTATCAATTACGTTTTGACATTGCAAACAAGTTCTCAACTATTATACAGTTCAAAATCTATGCTAAGTTTTCCAGAGCTAAAAATAGTAGACTCATTAGTTGTGAAAGTCAGGCTACTGACAGATAAATATTGAAAGTAAAATTGTATCCATGCCAATGTTATTTGCTTATTTGGGTAAAAATCTATATCGACGCTTGTAGTCATAATCAGTGTTTATTGACTGTATCAGTGATGCTATTAGTAAATTAGTTTTTTTATTTTTTATTTATACATGTTATTGTGTGTTATAGTGCATTAATTGCATGTTTATAGCTATAGAGCAGCTTGAATTGTTGAGGTATGCCCTCTATTTATACGTTACTACTATTCCATTACTGTATTACTGCCCCTCTCTCTTTGCTCACAGTACCAGCTAGTTTCTGTTTCCTCGACCTGTAAAAAATATGGTGGTTAGTTCCCACCTTTTGTATTCTTTCCTGTCATATGGATAGGCAAACTTCGGAACTCCAGATGTTGTAGATTACATCTCCCCTGATGCTTTGTCATCAGTATGGCTGTAAGAGACATTTGGAGTGCCAAAGGTTGCCTACCCCCTACCCTAGATAAAAACATAGAAACATAGAATGTGACGGCAGATAAGAACCATTCGGCCCATCTAGTCTGCCCAGTATTTCAAAATACTTTTAATTAGTCCCTGGACTTATCTTAATGCACTCTTAGGTGATGATGTGTATAACTGACTTGTAAACTAAATAAAAATACTTTCTGAATGTTCTTCTTAGATACAGAACACAATCCGATTCTGGATTTGCTGGCAGGACATGAAATCACTGCCAGTTTTTACTCCCAGTAAATTATAATAAGCAGAGAATTGGCTACACTGTGACTTCTGAACTTGAGAGTTGGGTGGCAAGAGACACAGATGCAAAGAAATAGCTCCCCTACTGGTCAGCAAAGAAAGTGTGTCATGTCTGCTGAGTATAGTAAAAAGGGTTCTCAACAATTTCAATGTAGGATTACTGCAAGTAGATTGTTTGGTATATTGGAAGTTTTGAGAATACTCAAGTATTAATAATGTTTTTTAAATATATTATTTTAGATATACTAATATTACTAGTTCTTTGTAATTTTTGATATTGAGGAATCCTTAATTATATTTAATTATACCATAGTTATTCTTAGTCACACCTTTGGCCTTCCAGATGTCGAGGACTACATCTCCTGTAATGCTCTTACAGCCATAATGCTGGCAAAGCATCAGGGGAGATGTAGTCCTTAACATCTGGAGTGCCAAAGGTTGTCTACCCCTGTACTAGACTGTCCTTTGTTATTAGGTATAGCGCCATCCAAGTATAGTATACATAATTAAAAGTACACTCTAAGAACCCACATTGTTGTAGTGATTATGGTGCAATTAGGTTTTCTTTTTTAAATTGCAGCCTTTTCCTATTACCTTAACTTGCTCCCAGTACATATGAATGAGATGAGTAATTTCACATCTTCAATATGTACAATTTAGTACAGCAATGATATGCTGTGAGTACTGGGTTAAAGGATTAATATAACCACCATGACCACTTCTGCTTTTAGTAGTGGTCATACTGGTAGGAATCTGCATCATCAGTGTTTCTGCTTAAAACATTTCACATACAGAGTAATCTGCACTTTTGTGATGGGGTCTAGTTACACCCAGCACTTTTTACCAGGCTACCTAATGTCAACTGCTATTATCAACTCCTACCTCTCCCAGCGCTCATTCAGTGTTTCTTTCTCTGGCTCTGCTTCTTCTCCCCAACTACTCTCTGTTGGTGTCCCCCAAGGGTCAGTCCTTGGTCCCCTACTGTTCTCCATCTATACTGCCTCCCTTGGTAAACTAATTAGCTCCTTTGGCTTCCAATATCATTTCTATGCAGATGACACGCAAATCTACCTGTCCTCTCCTGATCTCTCCCCGTCCCTCTTGACTAGTGTCTCTGACTGCCTCTCTGCTGTTTCTAACTGGATGGCTGCCCACTTCCTTAAACTAAACTTGACCAAAACTGAAATTCTGAAATTTCAGAAATTCTTTCCTCCCTCAAGTGTTGTTACTCCTGTGTCTGTCCCCCTCCAAGTCAACGGTGCTACCATCAGCTCCACCACGCAGGCTCGCTGCCTAGGTGTTCTCTTTGACTCTGACCTTTCCTTCAAGCCTCATGTTCAATCTATCGGCAAATCCTGTCATTTCCATCTAAAAAACATTGCGCGCATCCACCCTTAACGCCAGATGCGACTAAGGTGTTGGTCCATTCCACTTTCCTTTCTCGCCTTGACTACTGTAATCCGCTTCTCAGTGGTCTTACGTGCTCCCAACTAGCGCCGTTACAGTCCATAATGAATGCAGTGGCAAGGCTCATCTTCCTGTCCGCCCGCACCTCCCGTGCCTCACCCTTCTGTCAATCCCTACACTGGCTTCCTATAAGATATAGAGCTCAATTTAAAATTCTGGTTCTTGCTTTCAAATCGCTACATAATGCTGCTCCCACCTATCTATCCTCCCTTATACACAAGTATGTCCCGTCTAGGCCCTTACGATCTGCTGAAGACTTACGTCTATCTTCTGTCCATACTCCCACCTCTGATGCTCGCCTTCAAGATTTCTCGAGAGCTGCACCGTTCCTGTGGAACTCGCTTCCCTCCTCCGCTAGATGCTCACCCATCTCCATTCCTTCAAAAAATCGTTAAAAACCCACTTCTTCATAAAAGCGTATCACTTAAACTGTTAATAGCTCCTGACTGATTCCTCTTCTGCAACTGTCACTAGTCTAATACTATCCTTACCTTTTTGTGTCATTTTACCCCACTCCCTCTAGCATGTAAGCTCATTGAGCAGGGCCCTCAACCCCTCTGTTCCTGTGTGTCCAACTTGTCTGGTTACAACTACATGTCTGTTCGTCCACCCATTGTAAAGCGCTGCGGAATTTGACGGCGCTCTATAAATATCATAATAATAATAATAATAATAATAATAATTATGCAATCATTGCACCATCGCGACAGATATTATTAGCCTCCACCAGGAGCGCTGGGAACTTCAATGTTCCTCCCTCTGCCTCTATTGACAGGTATACTTTTTTATTTTAATTTTTTTTAAATAGAGTCCTCCATGACCTCCCCTCCAACCTTGCCTATGTTCGTAGTCTTTTTTTTTTTGCCCACCCTTACTCATTCCTTTGTCCACACCCCAACTCCCTCCCCTCACCAGGTCAGAGCATGTGCATGCACTTGTGCATAAACTCGTGATAATGGTCCCATTAGATTCATCGAGGGGAGCTCCTCCCAGTGCTGGATTCTAGGTAGGTTTATTTTTTATTTGCTAAGATTTTTTATTAGGTGCTGGGGTATAAAAAACTGTTTACATCAAAACCACCCCTACATCAAGCTACTCTGTTTAAGTGTAAAATTATTCATAATAATCTACATTACTTGATATGTTCTCATAGACATTGTGTCATGATGATGCAAAACCTATTGTAATCAAATCGAGTTTAACTTGCAAAATGTGTTCTTTTGTTTGATAGCACACAGTGTTCCCCTTATAGAAGTAATGTTTTGGAAAACTGCAAGAGAGAATCAGACATTTAATTGAGTTGACTATAAATTCCAATGACATTGTTTTTAAAGGTGTGCATTGTTTTGTAATGGTTTGTTCACTGATCATATGTCCATAATACACACATAACAGACATTATTAACATTCATTATTAAAGTTCATATTTCCCCTGTTATAGTACAATGAAGTATTATTAATGCATTTTCATTCTCACACACAACATTAAGCAAAATACACGATTCAGAATTTCATATATTTCAAAATAATCCATCAATGCATATTCTTTAGTATTGTCTATTAATGGGAAGCAGTGGCGACTCTTGGAACAGTAGACAGGACACAAAAGATACCACAAACAAACGTATACTGTATATCATAGCACAATGATGCAAAGTAGTAAATGGAAAAAGTAAAGGCAAAATGACAACTCAAAATTCATAGATTGTGGGACAGAAATGGGTGGAAGATTTAGAATCTCTGCAGAAGGCTTATATGTGGCTTAAATAGGCTTAAATAAATTCTTATAATCCAGAGGCATAATACTCATATTCATGAGTATATCAGTGTTCAAGGCAGGAAGTCTCAGTGAAATTTGCCCTTACCAACTGACCATTCGATGTAACATAACTCACAAAGTTCATTGTTCTCGATTAACAAGTGGGCGATTTCAATATCTATGGCTGTGCACTCAGATGAGGAGATACTGTGAAGACATTATGATGTCACACCTGACCTTGCAAAAGTTTGCAAATTACTGACGTATACAGGTGGGAACACTATTTAAACATAAGTTCAATTTTTCAAACTCCATATATATATATTCCAGTGTGAGTATTACTACGACAAGGCTTCAAAATATGCGAGTTTAGATATATTATATTATGCCGATAAGGCATGTGAGTTTTTATATTTTAAATTGATACCACACATTTAAATTAGAAGCATATTTGTACTATAACACACAATACAATAGGGGTGCGCCAAATAATACTTATCACATGTATTTAATATCTTCAAATTAAGTAAACATGTAAAAGAAAGAGTAAGTCATATGCACAATATAGTGCAGATCAATGAGCTACTTTATGTCTTTTAACAATAATTAAATTGGAATTTACTGTTATTATAATCCCATGCATTCACGTGTCACTCAATAACCACTACAAATCATAAAATACCATAAATTAATTAATCGTAACTGAATACTGTATTTATTGTAACCATGTGCACAGA